TCCCTGGGGCCACTGTGCTCTGGCGCGAGCCTCAGGGAGGCGGCAATGGGCCTCCTCTGCTCTCCCTGGGGCCACAGCGCTCGGGCGCGAGCCCCAGAAAGATGGCGACGGGCCTCCTGTGCTCTCCCTGAGGCCACAGCGCTCCGGTGTGGGCCCTGGGAAGCCAGTGATGAACCTCAGCACAGAAAGCTGGGGGCGGGGCTTGCTGCCACTGCCATTTGTGCCAGCTCCTGGGCTCCCGGAGCGCCGCTCCGGCACGCTCCGGCACCAAAAGACCCCTGATTTTAAGGAATCTGTAACAGAAAAAAAGCAGTGCCTTAAAAAATCATCTAATTCTTATTGTCACAATGAAGAGATCCACAAACCCAAACAAGGACCCACGGTAAGTAGGGAAACCAACATACAACAAATACCATGCACAGATGATTATAACATATCATAAATGATTTTATATTTTTTGAAAAATATTTTTACAATAATTTGTACATATATAATAAACCCTCTTAATCAAAAATATCAAAAATCATCTCCAAGAATCTCAAAAGCTATTGTACAACCTTTAATAATAGTCCTCCTCTATTAAATAAAGTTTCAAGAGGGAGGACTCCTTAAAGTCTCTTTATAACATGTGCTCGTGTCTTCCTCCACGAGCACATGTTATAAAGAGACAATAGCTTTTGAGATTCTTGGAGATGATTTTTGATATTTTTGATTAAGAGGATTTATTAGATATGTACAAATTATTGTAAAAATATTTTTCAAAAAATATAAAATCATTTATGATATGTTATAATCATCTGTGCACAATGAAGAGATCAACAAGCTACATGCACTTGAATGGTCCGTGCTGGTTCAAACCTTTTCCCTTGATAATGATTCGCCTTGACCTATTGATTTAAACAAGTAAATATTCTCAGTCTTTATGCTGGTTCTGTCAAATCTGTCAGTAAACAGTTCTGTGCAGTTCTTCCCTTTGCATGGATGCAACAGCATCAGGAATGATGTCTATGCAGTTCTGGATGGAGAGTTTGTTGGCTCCAACAAATGAGTCCCCTGTCCCCCCTCCCCCAGCTTTAATTATGTTTTGGCTCAACTTAAAAGAAGTCATTATTACCACAGCCTAGAAACAGATACACAACTTGGGTCATAATTATATACTGCAAGTTGTGGTAAAACAGGAGACTGTTGCAAGGAACCAGACTTCCCTTTTCACTCCTAAAGAGGGCTACTTGGTTTTGTTGACAAACAGCAAGAAATGGACTTGATTTGTGTGTTTGACAGGGAGACATCGAGACCTTTGCAGAGGGGGGGGATTGAAAATGGGCTATTATTTTTAACTCAAGCCTCTCTTGGTTGCAGTACACATCTTTAAATAAGCATGTGTTGCTTGCAGCATGTTGACTCTGGACCAATCTTGGTTGCATGCCTGCCTTTTAAATATTTGTGTTGCATCTCATATGTTTGTTTTTCATTTAATTCCTAGCCCTGAGTGCAATCCAATATATGGCAATGGAGAACAGCCTGGAAAACATGCGGTGGGATTAGGCAGCTTGTCAGGAAACTATTCCAGAGGGGCGGGCTCACTGCCAGTCCAAAGCAGCTTTGGTAATGCTGTAACAATTCGGCCAGAAGGCAACTTTCCTGTCTGCTCGCTCTGATGAGTTTCATTGAGCAGGCATGGAAGGAGTAGCACTCCTTTGTTCATATGTTAAGGTTAAATGCTTAAAGAACTACAATGCATTGATAAACAAATGGACTGGATTTAAGTAAAATTTAAATAAATGGCCTGGTCCAAAATCAGCAATATGGCCTTTTGAGATACTGAAGGAAGATAATCATTCTTAATATCAGGGGTCGTTTCGTAGAAAAAGAGCTAGGGGAACTCATTAGCATAACTCATTAGCATATGCCACACCCCCTGACATCACCGGAAGTGTGTCATAAGGCCACACACCCCGCCCCCAACGGTCCCTGCCGCTGCCGCTGGCCTTGCAGCTCCACTGCCGAGCCCCATGAGGGGCCCGGCGGTGGGCCTGCAAGGCCGGCGGGAGTGCAAGGAAGCCCCGCAAAGGCCCTCCCTGGTCCCAGGCAGGCAGGGGTGGGGAGAGGCAGGGAGGAAGCAACTTACCCTCCCTCTTCTCCTGCCTCCTCCTGGCTGAATGAGGGCCGGAAGCAGGGCGGCCCCCCCCCGAAATGACCTCTGCTTAATATACATTTTATTTCCCATCAAGTCAACCCGTGGGGTTTTCAAGGCAAGAGACGTTCATAGGCGGTTTGCCATTGCCTGCCTGTGTGCCATAACCCTGGGCTTCCTTGGTGGGTCCCATCCAAATACTAACCAGAGCTGACCTTGCTTAGCTTCCAAGATCTGAAGAGATTGAGCGATCCATCCTAAAACAATTATTCCTGACAAAACAGAAAGGGGTTGTGTAGTGCAATGTAGTGGTTAGAGCATTAGACTCGGACAAGGGAGATTCAGGTTCCAAATTACCACAGGGTGACTCCAGGCACATTATTCTTTGTCATCCTAACCTATGTTGCAGGATTATAGTGCAATTAGCTTCTCTGGGAAAGGACAGCATTAAAAATGTAAGAAAGAGACCATTCTTAAGATAATCTATAAAAGCTATCACTCATGGTTAGATCATATATGCATATTTTTTTCATGCTTATTTCCATAACACATCAAACCAAAAATAGCCACACCAAGCAAACACGTATATCCTTAACTCTTAGCTCAAACAAGCACAATGGCTCTCACTGATTAAAATGGCTTTCTGCCAACTACATTAACTAAAGCTTGCATTGACAAATCTATTTAAATCAATTCCAAGTTGCAGCCCTATTATTATAAAACAGGCAATGAGAAATGCATAATCTCCACGATATATAGACAGCATGCATATGCAAAGAGAATAAGCAGTGTGTTCCAGTTGTAATGGATTCAGGATCCAGGGAGAGAATGAGGCCCTAGGTTAGCTGGAGTGGCTACAAAGCCAACCTCAGAACCACTTCTTAGGAGACTTTTTTGGATTGTGGTACAGATAGCCAAACAAAAGACAATACATACTAATGACATAACTGATGAAGGGATCGCACAGGTGTAAATTAAGTAGCGGCCTTTCCTTTGAAAATACATGCAGCTGGGGACAAGGGAAAGTTTTGCCGCTTCATGCATGTATTTTAAAGGAGAAAACGGTCACTGATTCTGTTGTACACAATATTAATTTATTAGCTGCTTTCAGCATGCCAATGGAAAAGTGGGATATAAATCAAACGAGTAAACAGTGCTGACGTGTCTATATTGCTGTCTGGACATCAAACCTCCAGCAGAAATGTCTCACTAGAAACGGTCTTGTTTGCAGAAAATGTGGCAATGGTGGTGGGGATGGTGGCTGCAAGAGGCCAACAGTCGGACGATGGCACTGATGTAGACAGGAACTTTGAGAACGCATATCTTCCCATCCAGAAGGCATGATAATGGGCTTGAGCTGAGCTCTTCCCAAAAAGAAAGCATGTTTGGGAAAGAGCATGCCGAGAAGAGGGAACAGACAACTGGAGAATAATTACAGCATGATCTCATGTGTATGATTCCCCCACACACAAGTGCTCCAGTTTGGATGCCAAAGCAGAGCAAAACTCCCATGTAGAAACAGCCTGACATTGGGAAAGAGCATGCCGAGAAGAGGGAACGGACAACTGGAGAATAATTACAGCATGACCTCATGTGTATGATTCCCCCCCACACAAGTGCTCCTGTTTGGATGCCAAAGCAGACCAAAACTCCCATGTAGAAACAGCCTGACAGAGAGTTTGGCCTTTGGACACGAGTCTGCACCCTGCTTCTGCTTGTGTCTTGGGTTTGCTGCCTGGAAAATACCCTATTCCTATCTCAGCTCTTTGCAACCCTTATACAGTCAACACTCCTGGATGCCCAAGCCCATATCCAGCTACTGATTGTCCCCCTTTGCCCTCATCTCTCTGTTCATTCTGTGCAATAGTGTAGTTCACCCACTTTTTTGATTCCTTTGTTAACACCAAGCAATACATAATGTCAGGCGGCAGCCCTACACATGTGGCCTGCCTTCTAAATCCTCATCGTTTTATTAATTTTTCTCCCCCAGGCACAACTCTGATGCCAGATGTGAGTCTCCAGTCCACCATGCTCACGTAAAGCAACAATTAAGG